TCAACATTTTACTTTCCTTTATAAAGTATAAAATCTCACATTGAGGAAAACAGTAGCCCTTGTGTTTGCTAGTATAGGATCATCTACAAAGGAACAGCAAAGAGAACTAGTTAATACTGATCTAGAGTGGCAAATCTGTATGTTATTCTTTTAAGGCAAAATCAACAGGCACTAATTTTATATCAAAAGGAACACATGCATATCCAGTTCATTGTTCTCAGTGCCTAGGATGTAATAGGTGGAATAAATTTCTTAAATAAAGAATTGGTAGAACTTGATAACTGATTTGATATAAACGCCAAAGGAGAAGATGGAATAAAAAGTAAATGAGATAGAATTTCAATTGGAGTAACAGGGTTAATAATTTAATTAGATATCAAATAAGAAAATTTGAGAGAGGAAAAGACTCTCAGGGAAATTGGGTGGGTTTGTTGAGTCCCAAATGTTCCCGACACACTGAACTGCGAACATACACAGACATTCAGATACTGTCTGAATCTGAATTCAGATTCAGAGAGAGATTAGGCTCAGAGACTTTGGTGCCTCCCATTTATAAATGAGGAAAGCCGTCATTTAGTGCTGAGCTTAGAGTGTGTAAGCTTGTCAGAAGATTATGCAGGGGGAGACTAGAGTCTTGGAGTGGAATGAAGAGGAAAGGAAAACAGGCACTACAGCAAAGAAGAAACTATCAGAGGACAGATCCAGGAAAGTGTCATGACAAGAAGTGAAAGGAGATGATGATTTAATGGCTGTAGGAGTTAGTCAGCAGTACCGTGTACTACAGCAAGATTGAAAATAATTTCATTATGAATACATATCACTTAAGGAACACATATGGTAATCCTATCACACTCTTTTAATCTCCAAAAGGGTTGTAGTTTAAGTTGATTAACTTTACACACAGTAAACTGTAGAGTAGAACATACATTTGTGTTCTATTTTCAATATTTACAGGGTTCTCATTGTAAATCACTGATTTATAGACCAACAGAAGAATTCTTAATAGTTGCTAAAGCCAAGAAGTTTAATATCTTATCATGTTCATTCCATATTTTAAAATCATCAAGTCTTTATTCTGTTTTCGGAATAGCTGAAACGGAAAAGGAGACAGCAGAACACCTAGATCTGGCTGGTATGTCTTCTCGGCCAAAAGGTTCACAGGGGAACAGTCCCTTCCAGATCTCTCCACCATCTCCAGATTCCAAAAAGAAATCCAGAGGGATCATGAAACTCTTTGGAAGGTAAGTAAAAGAGTAAACAAGTGGACGCATTGCTCAAATGTAGGGATAAATGGAAAACTGGCTGAAAATGGGTATGGAATTATAAGGCTTTTGTGTTCCTCTTATGGAAAGAAGATTGTAATTTGGGGTTCATTAACTCATTGGATCTCAGTTAAAGTTTAAATTCAAATGTCTATGTTAATGACATATAAAGAGGAGTAGTTCGAATGTATACACCAGTTAAAAATGTTCTGGTTAAGGCCTCCTCAGGTCTAATACAAGGCAATGTGTATTGTGTCTTCTTCAGACTTAGGAGAAGTCAGTCAACTACATTCAATCCAGATGACATGCCTGAGCCAGAATTCAAAAGAGGAGGGACAAGGGCAACTGCAGGGCCCCGATTGGGTTGGTCTCGAGACCTAGGACAGTCTAACAGGTAAGAACAGCCTAACTAATGGACTGTTTTTTGCATTTCTACCCAAGCATCAAGGCCTCGTGAACATCTGGGATGTTAGTGCTGACACTGGGTTAAACAATCAAAGTCATTGCTCACTGCCATGCCTAGTGGAGGGTCCATTGTCTTTAGAGCAGTGCAATTTGTCAGTGGTTGATGAGCAAGCAACTATGCAGAAGGTGAGGGCAGTGAGAGTGAGGTGAGGAGCCGGAGCAAAGTGTCAGCAACAGCTGTATTAGAATGGTTCTTGGACTTACGTTTTACATAGGCAGTAATTGTAAGTGCTTTAAAGCAAAGCCTTGGAAAGAGGGGATAGTATGGTGGTTAAGAGTAGGTTCTAGGCCGGCCCGGTGGCGCACTGCAATAGTGCGCTGCTTGGGAAGTGCGGCGGCGCTCCCGCCCGAGGGTTCGGATCCCACATACAG